TTCACAAAACGTCAGTTACAAATTCACGAAGGACGCATCATCCCGGAAGTAAAACTGATTTGAACATTTCTTTACTCCGTGGAAGCCTTAAATAACTAACAAGAAGTACTGTAATTTGATATAAATAAATAATAATATAGATAAACAATTTATTTTACTATTATTATTTATAAAATTATAAATAATAAACCAAATTTGGAATTGTTGTATCGCCAGTAATTAAAACAAAATACTCTGGGATTAGATCGACCAAGGCTGGCAGTTTTATTTTTTTTACCACGACGTTTCGGCCAGTAATACTTGTCCTTTTCAAGTGGATCCTATAGCTTGTGACAACGAAGCATCTACAAATCAATTACTTAGTCCAAATACAAAACGGTAACAACTTGTAAAACAATAAATTATAAAATATAAAGCGGTAATAAATTATAAAAATTATAAAAAGAACTACGAGCAAATCTCTCAGTCATAATATAAAATAATAAATTATAAAAGAAGAACTTACAGGAAAATATAAATTTAGGCTAATCGTCATCGCACATAGAAATATACGTCTTCGCACGTGTCATGTCACCAAGAGACTAGATAGTTGGAACAGAACAAAGGGACATTGCTAAGATCCTCCCGTCATGACATATATGTAGAAGGGGACCAGAGAAACAAATAAATAAAAATAAATATAACTAACTAGGTGAGTCGAACGATTCTATCATATATCGTGTTCAGATTTTCAGTATTTTTCTGGAGGTTAATAGCGTTATTAAATTTCTTGATAAAAAACATCTCTGTGATTTCTCTGCGTCTATAATGTCGTTCTTTGTGTAAAATTAGAGGATTTGACCAGTCAAAATCATGTCCGAATATTGTCCGATGTTTGCTTACGACAGAGTGATTTGATGTCGGTTTTTTGATGTCGTTGCAATGTTCCTTTATCCTCGTTGCAATATGTCTCTTAGTTTGGCCAATATAGGTCGCGTCGCAGTTAATACAATCAATTTTATAGACAAGTTCGGTCTGTTTCGTGTTGATTATTTTATCCTTCCCCTTTCTTATAATTACGTCAAGTTTTTTAGGGACAGTAAACACAATATTCATATTAAATTTGGATAAAATGCGTCCTATTTCTTCACTAATACCATTGATATATGGTATAGTGAGATAATTTTTACGTTCAAGGCTCTCAGTTGGAGGGTCGTTAGTATTGGTATTGTGTCGATGACGTAATAGTTTTAATCGTTTTGTAATGTGTTCTTTAATAAAACGGGGGGGATAAGAATTATTTAGGAGAATGTCATGAATTAACTTAATGTTACTGTTGTGGAAACGTGCGTCAGAAAGTAAAATGGCTTGGTCTACTAAAGTTGAGACCGTGTTAATTTTGTATTTTGTCGGGTGGCTCGAAAAGTAATTAATGTATCTTCCCGAAAATGTCGGTTTTCTGTACCAATTCGTTATCATTTTGTTGTTTTCTCTGAGGACAGACACATTAAGAAAATTGAGTGTTTTATTGTTCTCAATCTCGGAGGTGAATTGTAGACGAGGATGGTAACTGTTAAAAGTATTCAACACTTCCTGTAGTCTGTCCTCAGGGAGGACTAGGAATATGTCGTCAACGTATCTATAATACACTTGTATCTCGAAATCCAACGAATTAATACAGTGTGTCTCTAGGTTATCCATAATTATATCCGCTAGTATAGGGGATAGAGGAGACCCCATAGGACTACCGAAGATCTGTTCATATATCTGGTCATTAAAAGAAAAGCTAGTTAAACTGAGAATTAGATCTATTGCATGTGAGAATTGAGGTAAGCTGAGTTTCGTGGCTTTGGAAATTTCATGCCATCTGTTTTCAATGCCTTTAAGTACTAGTTCTTTAGGAACATTAGTAAATAATGCAGTCACATCTAGTGATACCATGATGTCATTGTGGTGGATGTGGCATTCACTAATGTTCTCCGCGAAGGTCCAACTATCATTGACATAAGATTTCGGTTTAGAAATAGAGTGATTTAAAATATCGTGTAGGAAGCGAGAAATGTTATACAGGGGGCTGCCCAGTGTCGAGACAATAATACGTAGAGGATGACCAGGTTTATGGATCTTCGGCAATCCGCAACATCTTGGTAGATTACCATTTGTACAATTCAAATGTCGGTATTCGAAATCATTGATGATGTCATTATCTCGCCAAGCTTTAATTAGGTCTTGAACTTTGTTAGTTATCTTATTGATCGGATCTTTTGGTAGTTTTGGTAAATGTTCACTTTAGGGGAGTCAGCTCCGATGACCTTGACCTTGACATATGTTGTCAAGGTTACCCTCCTGAGTAACGCTCAGAAGGTTTTAGCCGTCGCTCGTTGTTTGTTAAAAAGTTATTAAAAAAACTATGTCGACCAATTATATGTAATTTTCAGACACAAATATTAAAAATTTTGAAAAATGTTTTAAACAAAAGTTGTAGATCTCTTTAAAATATATGTTTTAGTCCTATTCATTTTTACTCTACGAGTGACCCACGTAACAATTCGACATCTTTTAAACGTCTAAAGGACGTCCCGTTCGTCATGCACGGACATCCGTATGATGTGAGGAAGACGTCCAGTAGACATCTTTTGTACGTACAATGTACCGCCCAAAGATGTTGACGCGTCATTCTAACGACATTTATAGGACGTCTTTGGGTCCAATGGCTGCGA